CTGGCGGGGGTCCCTGGTGGGTGCTCACCTGTCCTCGGGGACAAGCCCGAAACAGCGTGGGATGGAGGGAGCTTTGTCCCTCTGACCTGGCTAACCCGTTGCTGGTACCCCCTCTGGGCCTCAGTTTACCCGCCTGTGGAGTGGAAGTTGGACAGATGGGCCCCCACTTCCATGTGAGGTGCTTCTGTGACACGGGGGTGGGACAAGGCACCTGCAGAGGCTAGGACCGTCCCAGCCCGGGGCCCTCTGGGTGACTGGGCAGAGCTTTGAGGGGGCCTGGCACATGCCCAGTGGACGATGCCACCCGTGCCCCCTGCAGGGCAAGATTCAGCTCTGGCCGCCCCTTAGCCACCTCCTCCTCTGCCTCCCCACCTTTCCTCTGGGCACGAAGTGGCCCCCGGAGAGGTATTTGTCCTGAGGAGCTGGGGAACGCTGTGCTTCCCGGGCCACAGCCTTGCAGATGCGGAATGCAGGCCCAGAGGGTTCCTAAGGAATGGGTTAGCTTGGTGTTTCCCAAGAGCCGTGCTCCTTGGCACCCTGGCGCCCCGTCGTGGGCACCCTGCAGAGAGGTCTGGAGCCTCCTGCAGGGGCCTCCCGGGACGGTGGGCCCTCCTTACGCTCTCCTCTCTTGGAGCCTCCTGCAGGGGCCTCCTGGGACGGCGGGCCCTCCTTACGCTCCTCTCTTCATGCTTTTCTTTCCTTGCTGCTGTGGCGCCTCCGTCACGTTTTCTGTTTGGCCGCCCGCCCCCCCCGCCCTCCCCATCTGCTGTCCCCGTGTTGTGTCGTGTCGTGCGTGGTCTTCCCTCCCGCCGCCCTCCCCCGCCCCCTTGGCTTCTTTTGGCGCGTCTGGGGTCTGCTTCCGGCAGGAATCGGCAGCGGCCTCCCGGTGGCCGGAGCCGGGTCTCGGCAGCTCGTGGGCCGGCGGAGCCGAGGCGCGTGCGGGACCCCCGACAGGTCAGTGTGGGGCTCGGCCGGCCGTAGGCAGGCTGGGTGGCCTGCACTGTTGCTGGTGGGGCCGGATGTTCTGGCTGAAGGCAGAGATGCCGGCGCGGGAGGTGGGATGCTTGGGCCCCGCGGGAGTGGGTGGAGGGCCGTGTGGGGCCGTGACCTCACAGCCCTGTCCCCTGCCATCCAGGCGGCCTTGCTGGCCAGCGTAGCCGGGCCAGCCTGGGCCGCTGGACGTGGGCCCCGCCTCGGGCCAGTTGGGGCAGCGGGTACCAGGGGCGTTGCGGGGGTGAGCCCTTCCCTGGCCCCCGGGAGCCCCCGGCCGTGTGCTGCTCAGGGGGTTGCTCAGCCAGACCCAGGCCAGGCCCTGTGGGTGACGCAGCTTTTAACATCAGTCCTGTCCTCCACCGCTCTGCTCGACAAAGGAGTTTAGATCTCTCATGGGGAGCACGTATGTTAAGTGACAGAAAGGGGACTGACGTTTGAGGTGAGGGAACATCGCACGTCACGTGCGTGTAAGGCCGCAGGGGAAGTGGGCAGCGTCTAGGCTGTCGGGGACCTTGGCTGCCCCACGTCACTCACATTTGCCTTGAGCTCCACAGCTGCCTGGAGGAGAAGCAGCGTCCGGTTCCCGTTACCCAGGTCCAGGCCTGGCTGACCCCCCCCCCCCTTGTGGAATGTTCCCTGTGAGCGGGTGCCCCTCTGCTCCTGCAGCCCCCCCCCTTGCCCTGGGGCACAGGGCCCACCTCCTGGCCGTGAGCTCCGCGTGTCCCTGCCACGTCTTGTGCTCCTGGAGGACAGATTTATTGAACACCTACTATGTGCCAGGCAAGGTGCCATGGATGTGGAGGAGACCGGGCAAGTGTAGAGGCTCCCTCCGGGGCCTCCTGATTCCTGGCATGCACTAGGTGCTCATGCAAGCTTGGGGGATCGGAGAATATGGTGCTGGGTAGTTGAGCCTGGCCTTGTTTCTCTGTGACTTGGCAGCACTACGTAGACTGGGGGAAGCTGGGGGAGGTGTGAGGGCTGGTGGAGGCCAGGGAAGGCACAGGGAGTGGCCTGGAGAAGGAGAGGGCTGGCCGGACTGGGTTCTGAGGGATGCATAGGAGTTCCTGCCCTATAGGCAGATGCGAGGCCGGTGGCAGGGTGTGGTGCGCTAGCACAGTGCCTGGCGAGGGCCTGGACTATTCCAGGTTGGCCCTTCTCTCCCACTGACCTGTCCTTGCAGCCTTGGGGGTGCTGCAGGGGGGCCAGGTGGGGGTGCTTGGCGTCCATCCAGCTTAAGGTTTTGGGCTCCCTTTGAACTTCCTTTGCAGACGTGTTTTTGCTGTGTCCCTAGGGGGGTTTTGGGAGCTGGTGCTGACCACGGGCTGGGTGGGGTGAGGCCCTCTGCCATGGTGAGGAGGGATGCTGCTGTGAGGTGGTGGGACCTCCTGCCAGAACATTCCTCCTGGGGCCCATGATGGCTTATTCTGCTGAAGTGCCACCTGACATGGCTTGTGGCTGTGTCACTTGGGAGACCCCGAGGACGCTAGGCCCTCTAGAGTGTGGCTGCCCCCTGGGTTCCTCACAGGCAGGGTCACCAGACAGTCCCCTGTCCTTTCATCCAGGTACAGAGGACTCCCTGGACAGGGCTCAGGGCCAAGTGAAGCCAGAAGCCCCAGGGACCGGGCTGTGGTGCCTGGGGAGCCTTGGGGAAGGGGATGGGGCTGGGGTGGCCGACGTCCATCCCCCTCCAGAGCCAGGTCTGGCCTGGGGGTCCAGGGCCCGACACGTGCGCATAAATGTAATATACAGTGGCCGGATCTCAAGTCTGCCAGCGCTGTCCTGGGGCACGTTTAATTATCTTTGTGCTTCGTTACGAGGCTGTCTCCCTTTCCGGAATTTATTTTAGCTAATGAGTTGGAAATGCCAGAGTAGTATTTTAGGTGATGGGAAGACAATGTATTATCATACGTGGGGCAATTAGCGCTCATGACAAACGTTTATTGTGCTTTCTTCTCAGTCGTGCCTCTGGGTGCTCCCAGACAGATGGCCCAGGGGTGAGGGGGTGGTCCCTGTCCATCGGTCCTGACCACTGTGGTCACTCTGTTTCTGGAACTGGAAGGGGGAGGGGCTGGAAAGTCCAGTCCCTGGGCGGGCGTCTGTGCCCACCTCTGCTCCAGCCACTCCCCGAGCTGGCTGGTCCCGTGCGTGCAGGGCCCAGGGAGCTTGCTGGGCTCTGGGGTGCACAGGCCTGCTTCCCCGGCTCCCCGGTGAGGGATGGGTGCCTGTCCCTCATGCGGGCTCCCTGCTTCCCTCCAGGCTGAAGCAGCGGTGGCCGCGGTGGCGGTGGCAGACACGGTCCGGGACGGCCCCCTGTCCGTGGGCCCTGATGGCGCGTCGAAGACGTGGAGCCGCGGCGGGGCCTGCACCACGGCCCTGGTCACCCCAGCCCCAGGCATCCCAGCGGGAGCCTCCACGGGCCCGTCAGCCGCAACCTCCTTCTTCCTCAGGTACGTCCTCCTGGGGCAGGGCCGGGGCCTGGCTTGGGGGCAGCTTGGGCGCGGACAGTGTGAGGGGGCCTGGGGACCTCAGCCCCTGGCCTGGCAGCCTGCGGGCCTTCCCGGAGAGATCTGTGGCCTTGCGCTGTCGGCAGTCGAGCAGAAGGGGAGCTCGCAGCCGTCCTTCCGTCCGTCCGGCCTCTCAGGGAGCCACATCGACGGCAGTGTGAGTGGAGGCCTCTCGCCCTGGGGGTGGGGTACAGCCAAGGACAGGGTTCGAACTCTGCCGCTCTGAGCTGTGCAACCCTGGGCAAGTCACGTAACCTCTCTGTGCCTCAGTTTCCTCAGAGGTGCAGCGAGCTGATGTCTGTGAGGCCCTGAGAAGACGCTGGCCCAGCGGGAGGACGCTCAGCCGTGGGTGGTGGATGTCCTCGGGCGGCCCTGAGCCAGGGCCGGCGGGAGGGGGAGGGTGGCCGTGGATGGGAGGCAGATGAGGCAGGTCTCAGGGCAGCTGTCCCTGCAGTCGGGGAGCACAGGGGTGGAACGGGCCCGGGGGAGCATCCCTGGGTGACCGAGGAGGTTGGGGTGAGCTGGGAGGCTGTCCTGGGGGCTGGCTGTACCCACACCCCACCTACCGAGCTCCCCCTGCTGGGGGGCTGCTGGCACATCCCCTCACGGCTCTGCTGTCAGATCTGGCTCCACTGTCAGCAGGAACCAAGTGGGTCCCCATCCCAGGCCCGAGCACCAGTGCGCGGGGCCGACCGGGGCCCGGTGTTTGCTCCGTCCGCGTCCTTGGGATGCCTTGCGTGGCCCCGCAGACACCAGGTCCTGGGCCGTCGGTTGTCGTGGACGAGGCCTGGCAGGCCGGGGCGCTGTGTCAGCAAGGTGCGGGGTGCGGGGGAGTGGTGTGTGGGAGCAGGGGGTCCCTTCTCCCACCTGCGCGCCCCCCCGGCGATGCCCTTGGGTTCCGAGCTTCCCCCTGCGGTGTGGGGAATGCAGGATGTGCCGGTGGTAATGAGCGGTGATGGCTGGCCCGGCACGGGTCACTGTCCCATTAGCAGCCCCTGCGGGCGCTAATCTGGTCCCCTGATCCCAGGAGACTGCGCCGCGTCAGCTTGGCCCAGTGGCGGGCACACGGTGGGGTGTTGGGGGGCACCGGGCTGGTGAGCACAGCATCGTGGCCCTGTGCGGGCTCACCGCCCCAGTTAGGTGCAGAGAGCCTGGCTGGGACTCTGGCTACGGAGCAGGTGGGGCCTGCCTGGAGGGCCCGGGAGCCCTGTGGAGGGGACGAGAGGGGCAAAGTGGGCCTCGGGAGGTGTCCTGGCCCGGGTAGTCTCTGCCCCTGGACTTTGGGCAGCGGCCACGCTCCATCAGGCCGTGCTTGCTGGGGGATTTCAAGCCTGAGACCCTCTGAGGACGAAGACCAGCTCCGGGGTCTGGGGGCCACACTGGCTCATTAGCAGCCCAGGGCCCGCAGGAGGGGTGCGCCTTTTGTCTCCAGCCGAGCTAGGCTGCCTCCATTGACCTTGGGAAGTTACCATAGAAACAAGCGCTCAGGCTGGGGGCTGGGGGCTGCTTTACAAGGCATGGGGCGGGGGGTGGGGGGTGGACACTGCCGGCTGCCATTACTTCCAGCCTGTTGGATGCCCCCAGTCACCGCGGCCTCCGGAGGGTCATGGGCCATGTTGTGGGGTGGGTGTTCCTGATGGGAACACCGTCTCCAGCTCGTGCCTGATTTGGGCCCGAGACCCTCTGCTTTTTGGGGCTGTGGCACCCTTCACTGTTGGGGTGAGGTGGGGTGCTCTCAGCTGTATGTGCCCTTCTTTGCTTTGTGGGGCTGTGGCTCAGAGGGGAAAGGGGCTTGTCCAGAGTCCCCAAAGACCAGGAGCTGCTGGACCCCGGGGGGCCTCGGGTACGAGCTGAGCACATGTTCCGTGCTTCCACCTGCATCCCTCACTGGGCATCTGGGGGGCAAAGCTGACACCCAGCCTATGCCCTGCCCCTCGGAAGTTTCTGGTAGTCGGGGTGGGGTCTGTCAGCCTTTGACAGCAGCATGGAGCCTTTGAAGGAGCCGAGCCGCAGGACACAGGCTTTGAGGGTTGAGTAGGAGTCCGGTGTTTGCCAAGTCGACACGGGATAGGGTGGGGTCAGGATCTGGGTTCTCCACTGGCCCTGAGCACTCCCTGCGGGCATGCTAGCCGCGGACCTTCCCGACCACCTCCGAGCCCCTCGCCCTGCTGTGGGCAAGCCAAGGTGGGGGTGATTCTGTGGGTGCTTGGTGCCCAGGGTCTTGTTACAGGGCGTAGGGCACAGGGGTGAGGCCCGGCGCCCTGCATGCCTCAGCTGGGCTGGGTGGGTCACTCGGGCATTGCAGCCACAGCTGTGACTGAGAGCTCAGCATGCCAGCCCCCACCAGAGTCCTGAAAAGGCCGGGCCGCCAGTAATTACGTTTTCTCCGGAGGCTCTGGTGACCTTGACTCCCCCTTCCCGAGTCCTCGGGACGCTGTGTGATGTCCCCGTCCTTCCTGTCTCTGCAGCCTCTCCTCCCCCGAGATGCGTCCATTAGCGCTCTCTCCTACCTGTGCTTCTGGGCCTTTCCGGGGCTCACCTCCTGGACCCCTGAATCTAGATGGCGTGGGAAGAACTGCTGGGGGTCTTCTGGGCAGGTGCAAGGCAGGGGGAGTGGTGGGTTCCTTCGGCGACAGGAGCCCCCTGCACTCGTAGGCACCCCCGCTGCCCCATTGCAGCCTCAGCGGAGCCCCCTTCCCCACGTCAGCCCGGGTGCCCAGGCCATGGAACGTCAGGTGTGGCACCTGGCAGAGGCCCAGAACCAGAGCGGGTGCTGCCCAGAGGTGCACGGGCAGGAGGGCCCCGCGGAGAGGTGTCCCTCACCGGCAGGGTGCGTGAGGCAGCTTCATAGCCTCAGCGTGAAGTTCCCAGGTGACGTGGAAAATGCAAGCAGGCCATGGCAGGGAGCAGCGGTCCAGGTCAGGGCTGCTAGGACCTTGGGCCTTGGCCTTGGAGGCGTAGGCCCCCTTAGCAGGCAGCTCTGAGGGGGGGATGCAGGCGTGGGGCGTAGCATGTGGCATGTGGCTTGGTCCGCCGGCCTCCAGGCGGCCCAGGCAGGAAGCCCTGGGTTGGCCGTAACTGACCCCCACACACATCCAAACAGGCCCGTGTGTCTCCTCAGGGTGATTAAGGACCTCGCCATCAAGGCCAACTGCCTGTGAAATTATCTTCTTCTTTGGAAGAGGAAATTTTTCTTTGTAAAAAGGCAAATATTTTCTTTTCTGTTTATGTGAATTAATATATGGCCCGGGCCAGTGAGCCTGGGGAAAGGCCTCTGGGATTAGGTGAGAGGGCTGGGGGCTCAGAGGGAGGTTGGAGGAGCTCGGTCCCTCCCTCATTCATTAGTTCACTCCCTCCCTCCTTCCCTCCCTCAGGGCCTCATCCTGAGCTTCCCTGTGTTCTAGGCCTGGGCTTGGCAAACCCCTGCCCTCCAGAGCCCCCACCTGATGGGACACAGCCGTGTGAACCTGTGGCTCAGGGCGTGGAATGGTTCCTATGGTAGCAGCAGGCACAGGGTTTGGGGAAGCCCAGTGTGGGGGCATCAGGGCAGGCTTCCCGGGGGAGGTGTCCTCTGAGGACGAGGAGAGCTGTGCGTGCAGGTGAAGTCCTGCTTTTCCAAGTCTCCTCTCTAGAGCCAAACCACTCAGACGTGCCTACCCGCCCCCTGCAGGTTCTGCCTTGAGCACCCCGCACCCCAACCCTGCTCCCCAACAATGCAGTGGGTGTTCGGGGTCCTGAGTGTGGTGCCTGTGTGTTCTCTTAGCCTCTGTGAAGCCTGGCATCACTTCCTCCCCCACCCTCACTGCCTGGAAACCAGGTCTGTGCACCCAGAAGGCTGGGACCCTCCCGAGACCACCCCCAGACCGTGTGAGCTGAGGTGCAGTTGCTCAGTGGCTGACGGGCTTGTCCCGGTTTTGAAGGAGCTGGATTTCATCACAGGAGACAGTGCTGTCCCGAGGCCTCTGAGTCATGCCCGGTGAGGCAAGCCTGTAAGAACAGAGACCTGGAGGGCTGGGCAGGCTGGGCACAGCTTCTCAGCTCCCAGCCCTGCGGGGGCTGACCCAGGGCCAGGGAGGGAGGAGGGGGTGCCCCGAGTTAGGTCAGACCACGGGGGAGAGACGCCCAGCCAGTACCGTTCCAGCCTCGTGGGGCTGGCGGGACTTCAGATGGCTCCTGGCCCAGCCTCTGTCCAGGCGAGACCTGGGCGTGGCCAGCGGGGAAGGACACCTCCCTGTGCTCCGCTGCTGGGACCTGAGGGTGACGGAGGGGGCTGAGGTCTGTGCCGGACACCCTGGTTCCTGAGAGGGTCGCAGAGGGTGCAGAGCCGTCTGTGGCCTTGAGCAGCAGGCAAAGCACTGCCTTCTGGTGTGGCCTCTGCAGCCCGATGTCCTGTCTCCCCCAGCGCCTTACCCATCCTCCTGGCCTTCACGTACCCTTGAGCCTTGGGGGGTTCAGGGTGGCCCCACCCCAGCCTTGGGGACCCTGGGTGGCCCTGCCCGACCTAGGGAGGAGCAGGGAGCCAGCTGTGACGGGAGCGGGGGCACACCTCGGCCGTGGTGGTCTGCTGACCTGTCCAGTCTCCTTGAGGGCCCAGCTGGTGCCTCCCAGGACAGGCTGGTGCCGGGCAGTCCCTGTGCTGCTCTTCCCCCACGTCTTGGGGACTTCTGTTCAGGCGGTTTTGGGTTTAGGGCACATGGGCTCAGGCAGGAATCGGGGCCGCGTCTCTGGCTGAGGGCCCCGGCCCGGGTTGTCCGGGCAGCTCGTGGGTTCCGCTCACAGGCCCCCGCCCCTGCCAGGCGTGCACCAGCCGCCCCACTGAGTTAGGAGGGCTCCGCCCCGCACCGTAGCTTACTTTTATTTTCCTTGATGACACCTCGCTAAGAGGAAAGCCGTCCCTGGGGTCTCTTAAAAGACAGCTCCTGTGAAAGATGAGAGGAGTTAAGCAAAACGCCGGTAGCTGCTCTGAGTGGGAGGCGGGCTGGGGGCCGTGTGCCCAGAGGGTACAGGCCCTCCTGTCGGGCCCCTTTGAGGGGCACAGGTGAGAATCAGGGGCCTGGGGGCTTTGGGAGAGGGAGGGCGGGCGCAGCAGGACCGGGAGAGGGGCAGCTGGGCGGGGCGGCGGGGAGCTGCCTGCAGGCCTGGTGGGCAGCTTCTTCCAGCCCTGAGTTGGCCCTACTCTGACCTCCAGCCCCTTTCGCCGGGAAGGCGGGCAGGGTGGGGGGGCTGACGGAGGCCTGGGCCATCTGGAACCAGGGCCACCTGGACCCAGGCCCATCTGTGTCACCTGTGCTGGGTGCCTTGAATGCATTCGCTCCTCAGGGCTATACACGAGGGCCTCTGGTGGTCATGTCATCCCATGTTTAGAGATGGGGAAATCGAGGCACAGAGAGGCTAAGTCACCACGTGTGGGTCATACAGCCTGTGAGTGGCTGAGCCCAGCGTGTGCCGTCCCGTCCAGCTGCTGAGCTGGGGACTTGGGGAGGCAGAGGGTGGGGGGAAGGGGATGCCCTCAGTGTGGGGTGTGGAGAGGGGCCGGGGCCCTGTGTCTGCCTGGGGCCCCTGTCGCCTGGCCTGTACTGGCAGAGCTGCCAGGGGCTGGACATGGTGGCCCCAGCCCCGGGGGCCCCTGCTTGGCTGGGGGGGAATGACCTGTGGCCGTGTAGCCGCATTTAGGGCAGGGCGGGTGGCAGGACAGCTCTGAGGACCCGCACCCGCCTCTCCTCCCTTCCCCTCCCCTCCCCTCCCCACGCCTCCCGCCCCTGCCCTCTCCACCCCTCCCCTCCCCAGGGCTGCCCAGAAGCTCAGCCTGGCCTCCAAGCGCAAGAAGCCCCACCCGCCGCCGGCCCCCGCCACCCGAGGAGCCTCCACCTACCCCACGGACTTCAGTGGGGTACTGCAGCTGTGGCCGCCCCCTGTGCCTCCCTGCCTGCTCAGGGCCGCCTCCAAGGCCAAGGACAACCCCAGCAGTGTCGGAAAGGTAGGCCCTGCCCTGACTTGGGGGTGACCCTGGGGGGGTGGCACGAGCCTGGGGTGTCTGGGCAGCTGCGGGATGGGGTGCGGGAGATGGAGGGGATGCTTCCTTCTCCTGGGCTGGACCAGGCTGGTGAGTGTACAGATGGGGCGACGGAGGCCCAGGCCCACCTTGACGGCTCCACGTGGTGGCAGGGAGCCTGGCAGACTGTGGTGGGCCTACAGGGAGTGGGTGGGAGGGTCCCAGGGGCACGGGCTGGTCTCAGTGTGGGGCGGGACGGCCAGGGCTTCCCGGGACTCAGGGGTGGGGTCTGGCCCCAAGAGCTCCCTTGCCTTGTCTTTGTTGGTGTGCTGCCCTCAGGGGGTCGGGGGGGGGGGCGGGGGGGGATCCCCTAGCTATCCAGAGTCCTGGCAAAGCCCAGCCGCAGCCTGACCTGAGAAGTGGGGGAGCAGTTGAGTCAGGACGCTACCGGTTTCAGGTGGGGACGCAGGCCCAGAGTGGAGAAGGCCTCGCCCAGTCACAGGCTGGCTGCCTCCTGGCTCCTGTGGCCTTTGGCTGAGACCGGTTTCTGTCCTGGTCCCATCTGGGTTGCCTGTGACTGCCCCCCAAGTCTGGGTTGGGGCCTGCCTGTGCGGCTCTGTGTGCGTGCATTAGTGGGGGGATTCTGTGCCTCTGGAGGCACAGCGGGGTTGGGCCTGTCACCAGGGCCACACGGCTCTGGGGTGAGGACAGGACCCCAACCCTGAGCGTGCACCCCATCGCGTTTCCCTGGCCTTCTACCCGCTCTGCCCCTCCCCGAGAGTGGCGGCTGCCCACCGGGCACTGGGTCTGGCCTTTCCAGTGCCCAGAGGCCCAACCCCTGCAGAGCTGGGGGGGGGGGTTCCACGCACCCCTGGACTCAGTCTGTCCTGCCGCCTAGGACACGCCCCAGGGGGCTTCTGCTCCTAGTGACGGGTCTGCAGAGGGGTCTGATGCATCTGCAGGGGTCACCCTGCCCGGGCCCGAGCTGCCCCCCAGGCCCCTACCCCACCCTCCCCCTGGCCCTCCTGCTGTATCCTCTGTGCTCGGCCTCCCGGAGGTCAGTCCCCGTGTCCGGACGTCCAGGAAGCCTTCCCTCACCCCATCACCACCACGCCCTGAGACGGAGGTAGATGTGTCCCCCGGGAGCTTGCTGAAGTGGGGAATCTGGGCCCTGCTTGGGCGGTGGGAGTGCCGGGGCCAGAGGGAGGACACCGCGAGCTGGCCGTGGGGAAGGGGCTCTAAGCAGCTCTGGGCCTGGTCACTCGGCCCGTCTGGGGTGGGGGCTGGGTGGCTGGAGGGTTGGGGAGGCTCGTGGTGCGGACGCTGCTTTCTTACCGCCGCCGTGTTACTTGGGGCTCCAGCAGGCCTCCCCGTCTCCCTGGGGCCAGGCCCCCCACCCAAGTATTCCAGGGCGGGGGCTCCTCCCCTCTCTCCGGCAGACCACCGCTGTGCCCTGGTCCCCTGTGGCAGGGAGCCCGTGGCCGCCCGTCCTGGTCCTCTCACCGTGCCCCCCAGAGCCCCCTCCCCAGCTCCCTGGATGTTATTTGCACGAGGAGCACACAGTTAGAAATGCCTCCTGAAAGGCATTTAACATTGTCAGAGGAAAGAAAGTTAGATTACACTCGATTCCTGACATTAATGTACCACTTAAGGTAATTCATCATTTTGCGGTATTAAAGAAGGCACCCCTCCCCCCACGACTGCCTGGGCTGTCTCAAGCCCCTTTTTATGCAAAATGTGTTTTTTCCCTACCTGGCAGCTATTCAGCGGGGCTTTGCAATATCTGAACATTTACGGGGGAGACGTGCTTGTGTGGCGCAAAGACCCTGTCATTTCCCTGCGGTAATGAAAGGATTCTCGCAGACAGTGACCCAGGCATTTAGCTGGGATGGTGGCGCGTGGCGTGGGGCTGGCGCACGCGATGTCCCCTCCCCGCCGGGAACGCTCTCCAATCCGCAGAACCCATTTGGCTCCTGAAGCGGCCAGGAGTTCACGCTGAAAAAAAATTGCCCAAAATTCCTGGGAAATGCACATTTTCATCTGCTTGGCAGTGGCGTTTGGAAATGAAATAGTTTTGTTCATGTCGTCGGGGAATAAGAGAATCGATTCTCGGCTAATGGAGCCCAGGTTCGGAGGAGCTCAATAGAAAAGTATGTCTTTCCGCGTCTCCCCGGAGGACCCCCTCTCCTTACGCGGCGCGAGTTTGCATGTCAATTTGCCACATGCCAAAGGGACGGAGATGGTGCCTCGTGCGAACTACCCACAGTAAACCAATTTCGCCGGAGTTATGTATCTGTCAGTTACAATTAAACCCGTGAAAAATATTGGCTCTGAGATGAGGCTGGTAATTTGATTTACACTGTACTGGAGAAATCGGAGATTTCACCGGAGAGCGGAGGGTGGTGTCCTCCAGCGGAAACCGGAGTCTGGTGCCTTCTCCTGGGAGGGGCCCCCCCCAGGGTGGCTTGCCCTGTCAGCACTTGGCCCCCCTTGGCCACACACAAGATGCGCGGCCCAGGGTGTTTGTTCTCCACGTGGGTTTGGGGGTGTTTGCAGTGTCGCTTGTTCTGGGCTCCTGCATCTTGGTTCCTGGCTTCCCTCCCCTCTGAGCTTTCTGTTCCCTTGAGGGCCTTGGGGCTGGTAGTCCAGCCCCAGGAGCTGGCATGAACGTGGGCAGGGAGCACGGGCAAGCCTTGCATCTGCTTTTGTGTTTGGGGGACTCACAGTGTCAGAGGCTGCCTGGTGGCCTGTTGGGCCCTGAGCTGAGCCGAGCCCTGTCCAGCTCTGCTCTGTCCCCACCCCGGGCCCCCACCCCAGGCTTCGTCGCTCCACCATCTCCCCTGGCCTGGGGATTCAGGATGCCCGTCTCCTCTGGGATCATCCCGCCCTCTTCCTTCCGGGTTCTGTGCCAGTGGGATTGCCTCTGGCGTCCTGCTGACCCGGAGTCCTGCCACAGGTGTCCGAGGGGTTTGAGTCTCCCCAGGTGTCCTTGGGGTTCCGAGCGGCTCTGGGGTCAGAAGCACCAGATCCCGTTTCTCCCTGAGGGCACCGCAGGCGTCAGGCCCGTCCCCCTCCGCGTCTTTGTCCTTCCTTCACTCCACACACTCCTGCCCGCCCACCGCCTGAGGTGCAGACACGGGAGGATGTGCCCAGGGCTCTGAAGGCCTCTGGCTTGGGGCTGGGAGCTGGGAGAAAGGGCTCCCTGGAGGAGGTGAGGCTGGACAGACACGTGGGGGGCCGGGGTGTGGGGCACTTGTCCCTCCCCTCAGCGGCCTGCCTGGCCGCGGTGCACGGGTGTCGGGAGCTGGGGGTGTGGGGAGGCCCCGGCTGTGAGCGGCCCCTGTCCTCCGCATCAGGGGTGGAGGACACACCTTCGGAGGAGCGTGCGTGGGGCTCTGAGGGGACCCTGTGGGCGGGCCGGGGCCTGTGCCTTCCTGTCTGGTTGGGCCGGGTCTTGCTGCCCCGATCTGCTTGCCCCTCTCTCTCCGCCCTCAGATTTGGGGTTTGGGATTTCAGGAGACCCACTGGCAGGCTGTGTGACACGGGTGAGACAGTCGACCTCTCTGAGTGTGTTCCCTCCCCCTTCTGAAGCCTGTGCGGGCTTGGGGGGTGGGTCGCCATGGCGGCTGGTCCAGCGGGGCGTGCCTGTGTGGGGTGACCCTGCTCTCAGAGACCTGTCTTTGGGTTCAGCTCCCTTGGTGCTGGCTCTGCCTCAGAGTCAGCGAGAGGGTGCGGAGGAGCCCCAGATCGAGGTGGGGTGCGCTCTGGGTCCCGTCCTCGTCCTTCTGTCTCTCTGCTCACTGGGGCAGCTGGAGTGTGCTCCCTCTGTCCTGCTCTCCCTCTGCGCTGTGCCCCCCGCGCTGTGCTGACGCGCTCTGTTCCCGGCCAGCCTCTCCTCTCGCTGGCCCTCGTTTTCTCCCTGCATGGCTGACCTCATGTGGGAGGCGCTCTGGCCTGGAGCTGGGGTGCCGGTGCCGCGTTCCTGCGGCGGGGGCCCCACGCCGGGGCCTGGCCCACTCTCCTGACTTGCGTGAAGCCCCTCCTGCCGTGCGCTTAGCAGCTGCTCAGATGCCCGCCCTGCCCACCTCCCCAGGTGAAGGTCGTGCTGCGGATCTGGCCTGCTCAGGGGGCCCAGCGCTTGGCCGAGTCCACGTCCTTCCTGAAGGTGGACCCGAGGAAGAAGCAGGTGACCCTCTATGACCCGGCCACGGGGCCCCCAGGCTGCACGGGTCCCCGACACGCCACCACGGCTGCCGTTCCCAAGATGTTTGCCTTCGATGCCGTCTTCCCCCAGGACTCGGAGCAGGTGAGGGTGACAGTGGCGGCCTCGGGTGGGGGCGGGGCCTTCCCGTGCAGAGCCGGGGCTGGGGGTGGGGTGGGGGGTGGGGAGGCCGGTTGTGTTTCCCCTTCCTCGCTGGCCTCCCCAGCCCTCGTGGTGTCTCCACCCAGCTCCTGGCCTGGTTCTCAGGCCAAGTTTTTCAGAGCCCATGCCCCATGGAAGCTTTCCGAGTGGTGCTTTGTTTCCCAGAGATGCTCCTCCACGCGTCCCGTGTGTGCCGTGCGTGCGTGCAGCATGGTGTGTGCCCGGCGTGGCCGCGAGGGCACTGTGACTTCTGTGTGTGCGTGCACACTGCGTGTGCCTGTCAGCTGTGTCTGGCTGGTTCATGCTGTGTGTGTGTGTCCATGTCCGGTCCGTGTGTGTCGTGTGTCCACGTGGAGATTTTTGTGTCCTTGGTCTTGGGCGCCCTCCCGGCCACCTTGTGGACTCACCGTCTGTACGTGATGAGACAGAAGTGGCGGGAGGCCGGTGGCTGCCTGACTCTGTGCCTTTTCCCCAGGCCGAGGTCTGCTCGGGGACAGTGGCCGACGTGCTTCAGTCGGTGGTCAGTGGGGCCGATGGCTGCATTTTCTCCTTTGGCCACGTGAGCCTTGGTAAATGCCCCTTACCATCCCCTCTCTGCAGTCGCTGGGCGCCGTTTCTGGGTGGGGTGGGGGGTGGGCATATCCCATATGGGCAGCAGGTGAGCACCTGGGGCGGGGGGCTTGTGGAGAGGAAGCTGAAACCCTGTAGGCCTAGAGCGTAGAGCCACGGAGTGGGTCAGAAGAGGCCCCCAGGGTCTCAGCGGCCCCAGGTTGGCCCTGAGGGCCCCGGGCAGGGCCAGGGAAGCAGCTGCCGGGTCTGGCTGGGCTCTGAGGGCTCATCACGCTGGCCCCCAGGCAAGTCCTACACCATGATCGGGAAGGACAGCTCGCCCCAGAGCCTGGGCATCGTGCCCTGCGCCATCTCCTGGCTCTTCAGGCTCATTGACGAGCGCAAGGAGAGGGTGGGCGCCCGCTTCTCCGTCCGCGTCTCGGCCGTGGAGGTGTGCGGCCGGGACCAGAGCCTGCGGGACCTGCTGGCCGAGGTGGCCTCCAGCAGCCTGCAGGACACCCAGTCCCCGGGGGTGTACCTGCGGGAGGACCCCGTCTGCGGGGCGCAGGTACGCCGAGGCCGCTGTGCGGGGAGCAGGGCCGCGGGCTTGGGGGCCGCGTGGGGGTGGCGGCTCGGCCCCGAGCCACTCAGGCGCCATCCCCGCTGTCCGTCTGTCTGCAGCTCCAGAGCCAGAGCGAGCTGCGGGCGCCCACGGCTGAGAAGGCGGCCTTCTACCTGGACGCGGCACTGGCTGCGCGCAGCGCCCGCCAGGCCGGCGGTGGCGAGGACGCCCTGGGCAGCTCGCACATGCTCTTCACGCTGCACGTGTACCAGTACCGTGTGGAGAAGTGCGGCAGGGGTGGAAGTAGGTGGCCGTGGCGCCTGCGTGGTGTGGGTCCGGCCGCCCTCCCTCTCGGCGGGACTGTCCCGGGTGTGGGTGCCCTGCGGCCGAGCCTTCACCCTCCTGCCCTGTGGTTTCAGTGTCTGGAGGCCGCAGCCGCCTGCACCTCATTGACTTCGGCAGCTGTGAGGGGGCACCTGGCAGGGGTGGGGAGGCCCCCGGGGGCCCGCCATATCTGTCCTTGTCGGCTTTGGGCAGCGTCATCTTGGCCCTGGTCAGCGGAGCCAAGCACGTGCCCTACAGGTGAGTGGTGGGCTCCTGGCCGGGGCCCTGGGGACCCAGCCCAGCCCAGCCCACGTCAGGCGTGTCCAGCGTGTCTGTGGTCCCTGAGCCCCTCAGTTCTTTGCTCCTCCATCACCTGACGGGCCTTGCTGCCCGAGGGCTGGGGGCGGGGGGGGGGGGGTCCTGGCGCCCAGGGTGTGGGGAACAGAGGTGGGGGTCAGCCCTGACCCCGAGGCTCCAGGCCTGACCCTGGTCCAGCGAGAGGCCCTGCGGCAGCCCACACGCCCAGCCTCCCACCCGGCATCCCTCCTGGGCCCTCAGCCCCTGACCCCCACCCCTCCCCGGCCCCCAGGGAGCACAGGCTCACCATGCTGCTGCGGGAGACCCTGGCCACCGCCAACTGCCGCACCACCATGATTGCCCACGTCTCCGATGCGCCCGCCCGCCACGCCGAGACGCTCAGCACCGTGCAGCTGGCCGCCCACCTCCACCGCCTGCGTAGGAAGAAGGTCAAGGTTGGCTCCGCCTCCCACCTGCCCCTCCCTCTCCCCGAGGGCCCCTGCCTGCATGGTGGGGGTGCTGGGGCCCCGCGTCCTGGGGTCACAGGGCTGTGCCCACATGGCCTTGCCCAGAGGCGGCGGGGCCCAGGCTCGAGGTCGCCCCAAGCAGAACCGGACCTGCTCGCACTGGGGGCTGTGGTTGTCTGGCCTCTATCTGCCTGGCCCAGGGGTAGGTGTGTGCTCGGGGCAGCCTGGTGGGATGCCCGTGGCCTGTACCCCTCCCAGGCCTGGTCCAGCAGGGCATGACCCAGGCAGCCCTCCGTCGGGCCAGAGCGTGGAGTTAGGGGCACCCTGGGGTGCCCTGGGTCTGAATCCTGGGTTTGCACTTATGCGCCATGTGCTGAGGGCACGTGTTCTCACCTCCCTGTGACTCGGCTTAGTGCTTCCTTGGAAGTTGCTGAGGAGGTCCGGTTATGTTCGCGGCCGGAGACCTTTTGTGCCGGTCCAGTGCTTGATGGGACACGGTTGGTGGCTGCGCTGTCACTTCCTTCACTGGAGCGTGGTGTGTGCGGCTGGGGTGCAGGGGAAGGGGGGGCAGGTGGGGAGGCCGCTCAGGTGGGCCTGCTCTGTCCCCAGTACGCGTCCAGCTCCTCGGGTGGGGACAGCTCCTGCGAGGAAGGCCGTGCCCGCCGCCCCTCGCACCTGCGACCCTTCCACCCGCGCTCTGCAGCCCCAGACCCCGACCGCCTGGCCCCCAGCTCGCCCGGTGACCCCGACTACTCATCCAGCAGCGAGCAGTCCTGCGACACCGTCATCTACGTGGGGCCGGGGGGGGCGGCGCTGTCGGACCGCGAGCTCACGGACAGCGAGGGCCCCCCCGACTTTGTGCCCATCATCCCCTCACTGAGCCGCCGCCACCCCTCCCGGGGCCTGCGTGACGCTGACCACTTCCGCTGCAGCACCTTCGCGGAGCTGCAGGAGCGGCTGGAGTGCGTCCACGGCAGCGAGGGCCCCCCAGGAGGCCTGGGTGGCACCAGCGGAGCCCAGGCTAGCCCGGCGCGCGGGGGCAGGAAGCCCTCGCTGTCCGAGGCCGCGGCCCCCAGGAAAGCCGTGGGCTCCCCACTGGCCGCCAGCACGCCTCGCGGCAGCCCCGGCCCAGATACCCACCGGGGTGCCCCAGAGCCCTCCAAGGCTGGTGGTGACCAGAGAGAGGACAGCAGTGCCAGGCCCGAGCTGCCTGTGCTGGATAAGGCCACGGGGGGCAGAGGCAGGAGGCCGCTGCCCAGCCCGGCCCCCCCACTGCCTCGGCAGCTGGAAGCTGGCGGGGCCCCGGAGGAGCCTGGGGGAGCCGACAGTGTGGGTGTGGTACGGACGCCCCCCGTGGGCATGAGCGGGCAGGAGGGCTGCCCCCGCCCCTCTGCACGCGGCCAGTGTCTGGAGCGGGGCCTGCTGACCGCCACGGTGACCTTGCAGCAGCCCGTGGAGCTCAACGGCGAGGACGAGCTGGTGCTCACACTGGTGGAGGAGCTGTCCCTGGGGGGGCTGGCCGGCCCTGGGCGCCCCTGCAGCCTGGCCGGCCTCGGCAGCGGCTGCTCCCCGCAGGCCCCGGCCTCGGGCTCGAGGCCCGTCAGCATCGTCAGCAGCATTAACGACGAGTTCGACGCGTACACCTCGCAGGCGCCCGGTGGGGCCCCGGACGGCAGCCGCGGCTCCTGCGCCAGCTCGTGGCTCAGCGAGCTCAGCGTGCGCACGGCCGACAGCCTCGGCCCCGCCCCGCGGCCTCCCTCGCGGGCCAGCCCAGACCCCTTCAGCCCTGGCTCGCCAGCGGGGCCTGACCCTCTGGGCTCCCCGATCCTGGATGGCTCCTTGGAGGGAAGCAGCTTTCAGTTCTCAGAGCAGGACAGACCGGACAGTCCCGGCCCCGCCCACAGTCCTTGTCCCACGGAGGAGGCCACGGCAGCTGCCAGCCGACCTGGCCGCGAGTCCCATGCTGCGTCTCCACGGGGGGCCACCCCAGCACCAACCATCCACTCCAGCCTTCCCCGCAAACCGAGGACTACCTCAGCGGCCGGTCGTGTGGGCTGCCCCCGCCTGGCCCTGGGCCCGCCTGGCCCTGGAGGCCTCTTCGAGGACCCTTGGCTTCTCCGGGCGGACGAATGTGGCCTGCTGCCCCTGGCCTCTGCCAGCAGGGCCCCCGGCCTGGCCCCGATGCTGGCTTGTGCCCGGAGGGTGGTGGACGGCTGTGAGGTGGGCAGGGCAGCCCACAGGCCAGAGGCCGTGGCTCAGATCCCACCGCTGCGGAGGGGAGCCACCACGCTGGGTGTGACCACGCCCTCCACATCCTTCGGGGACGCCTCGGCCGAGGCAGCGGCCTGCCTGGGCAGCCCAAAGGCCACCTCCAGCAGCAAGAAGAGTGTGGCCTCCAAAGGGGACCTCTGCCCGCGGCCTGGCGGGGGGGCGGCCCCCCCGGCCCCGCCGGTGCGCAAGTCCAGCCTGGAGCACAAGAACAGCCCGGCCCCGGCCCCTCCCCAGGCCGGGAGCCTGGCTTGGGCTGGGGCTGCCACCTTCCTCCGAGGGGAGGGGGAGGCCAGGCCTGGCGGCCGGGCCGACCACTCCATCCCCAGGGCTACGTCCAGCCTGAAGGCCCGGGCTGGCAAGGCAGAGGCAGGGTGCCGTCCTGCCACTCACGGGTCTCTGGAGCGGTGCGAGGAGGGCCTGGTGCACGGCAGCAGCAAGGCCAGGGAAGGCCCCGGGAGGCCGGCCCGGGCTGTGCCCAGGTTGGGTGTGCCGCCTGCCAGCCCCACGCCTGGGCCCGCTCCTGCCTGTAGGAGCAGCCCGGCCAAGGGCGTGGGGGCCCCCAAGCCCCCCACCAGCGGGGGCAAGGGCCGCAGCCCAGCGGCAGGCGGGTCCAGGGCTCTGGGTGCTTCAGTGAAGCCGCTGGCCCCTGTGGCGGGCAGGACCCCTGGGGCCCCAGTGACGGGCCCCAGGGTTGCCCCGCGAGTGGTGCCTTGCGTTGGGGCCAAGGCCAGCCGAGGCACCATCATGGGCACCAAGCAGGCGCTCCGGGCCGCCCACAGCCGTGTCAACGAGCTGGCGGCCGGCGGAGGCCACGGCCGAAGTGGCCCCTTGTGGGGCTCGGCCGACTCGGACAGCGGCAATGACAGCGGCGTGAACGTGTCCGAAGAGCGGCCGCCCGCGGGCCCGGTGCTGCCCTCTCCATACAGCAAGGTGACGGCCCCGCGGCGGCCGCAGCGCTACAGCAGCGGCCACGGCAGCGACAACAGCAGCGTGCTGAGCGGGGAGCTGCCGCCCGCCATGGGCCGCACGGCCCTTTTCTACCACAGCGGCGGTAGCAGCGGCTACGAGAGCATGATGCGCGACAGCGAGGCCACCGGCAGCGCCTCCTCGGCCCCTGACTCAATGAGCGACAGTGGGGCCGCATCCCCGGGCGCCCGCTCCCGCAGCCTCAAGTCCCCCAAGAAGAGGGCCACAGGTGGGTGCGGCCCAGCCCCTGCAGGGCCCGGGCCCGGCCGCACTTGACAGCCGGGCACCACCTTCGTGGATCCCAGTGTAGGCGGCCCTCCACGGTTTCATAGACGTGCCTGGGGCTGTTCAGGCTGTAGGTGTGTGCAGCCTCTACCGTCTGTAGACGCACCCAGCGTGTGCCCTTCTCTGGTCCCTACGCTGCCTCTGAGGCTGGTCCCCATGCCCTCAGAGTGGGCTGGCAGGGGTGGGCCCACACGGGGCACCCTGCTGAGGCATGGGGAGCCTGGAGAGGACTTGGGTCTGGGGCTCCAAGCCTGGTGTTCCCCCCCCGGGGCTGGTGCCCAGCTGCCTGGGAGCCCCCTGCTGTGCTGTTCCTGCCTCCAGCCCCCGGACCTTCTGTCTCTGGGGGCCTGGGTAGTGTGGGCCTGTTTCTCATGCTGTGTGTGGCTGGGGGGATTTGGCCACTGGCTGCTGTTCTCCGGGAGGGCGGGGGAGGCACGCCCTGGCTGAAGGTGGGCTGGGAAAGCAGGAGGCCGGCGTGGGGAGCAGGGAGGGGTGTGCTGGGAGATGTGGCTGGTGCCACAAGCATGGGCCTGGCTTGGGAGCCTGTCCGGAGGCGGTGCGGTAGAGACGGTTGCGATTAGGAAGCAGCGTGGCCCCTTAGGCTGTCGGAGGGCTGCCTCCAGGGCTGGCGGGTGTGACCCTGAGGCTGCTGTCCAGTAGGGAGGGTGTGGCCGTCCCCGGCCGGCTGGGGGAGGGGCTGGGGGACAGGAGCCCATCTGTTCCACCGGGCGGGCAGGGGTAGCCGGGTTTCCGGCCGGCGCTAGGCTGAGCATTTCAGGATTGGGAGGGCCCCCGTGGGCTCTGCCTGTCAGAACCGCAGCCAGGCGCCCGTCTTGGTCCTGGGCTGAGGGCTGGGGCCCGGCCTCTGCTCACCCAGCGCCCGGCTCTCTGTTGCAGGTCTGCAGCGGCGACGGCTGATCCCGGCCCCGCTGCCCGATGCTGCTGCCCTGGGCCGCAAGCCCAGCCTCCCCGGCCAGTGGGTGGACCTGCCACTGCCCCTGGCTGGATCGCTGAAGGAACCCTTTGAGATCAAGGTGTACGAGATTGATGACGTGGAGCGCCTGCAGCGGCACTGCCTGCCCCCGAGGGAGGACCCGGCCGAGGTCGGGGCTGGGGCAGTCCGGGGGCAGGTGGTCCTGGGAGGGCAGGGTGGGCCCCTGGGGTGTGGCAGGGCAGCCCACTGACCTCATCTTGCCCTCTTGTCCACAGCCCTCCCAGAATGCAGAGAAGGTAGGAAAGGCCCCGCTCAGCCCTGAACCCCTGGCATCTCCCGATGGCCCTTGTGGGCCGAGTGGGGGGCTGGAGGGGTCCTGAGGCCACCGCTCTCGTGCCCTGGAGTTACGCTGGGGTGTGGGCGTGCTTCCCACCGCCGTGCCCACTCATCCTGGGCCCGGGTTCCAGACAGGCACGGGTTGCTTTGGGAGCACGTGGCGTGAGCTCCCTCGGGCAGGAGGGGCCCAGGTCCTACCCCCTGCCCGCCTTTGAGGCCCTGCTGTTTGCCTGCTCGGGCCCGGGGGGTGGAGCGAGGCTCACGGAGCCCCTGGGAGCAGGCCGTCCTCCGTGCCTGAGCCCACCCGTCGCCGTCCCCGCCGCCCAGGGCCCGGTGTGCGTCAGTGCGAAGTTGCGGCTGGCCGAGCGTAGGCAGCAGCGGCTGCAGGAGGTGTGGGCCAAGCGTGAGGCGCTCCGCGAGGAGCTGGCTGAGACCCAGGGCCGGCTGATGGTGGAGCCCGGCCGCTGGCTGGAGCAGTGTGAGTCTCCCCGCTCATCCCCCCACACCCCGGGAGGCGCAGGTGCAGGACCCCAGGCTCTGCGCCCCACCTGCGCCCCCAGTCCAGCCACTTCACCCTGTCCCAGGTGGGGACCCAGAGGCTGGGAGGGAGAGAAGCATTTCCTGGGCCTTGCGGGGACCCCGGCCTGACCAGCGGTCTGCCGTCCATCCCTAGTCGAGGTGGACCCGGAGCTGGAGCCCGAGTCGGCCGAGTACCTGGCGGCCCTGGAGCGCGCCACGGCCGCCCTGGAGCAGTGCGTGAACCTGTGCAAGGCCCGCGTCATGATGGTCACCTGCTTCGACATCAGCGTCGCCGCCGCCACCGCTGCCCCGGGGCCGCAGGAGGTGGACGTCTGAGGCTGGGCACTGGGACACGAGGGAGGGGGTGGGGGTGTCGGGGGCTCGAGGACGGGACGTGGGATGGAGCGAGGATGTGGCGGGGGTTGGAGGGACGAGGATGCGGAGGGTCCAGTGGGGACCCGCGGGTCTTGGAGGCGATGGAGCGTGAGGCAGGGGAGGGGCCGGCCGAGCACGTGGACGGAGGAGCGAGTGAGCAGGACAGGGGAAGACTATCGCCCCCAGACAGCAACGCAAGTGCCTTTAACCTTGGACTGGATTTCTCTCCTTTTCGCGTTTGGTGCTAAGGACTCAAGACACCAGCAGACGGTGTGCTGGGGCCGCCGGCCCGACTGTTTGATCTGATCGCGCCTTCTTTACAGCCAAGCAGTTCCATGTAGCAAGACAGCCCCGGGCTCGCCGGGCTCTGGCTTAGGATTCAGGGTTGCTTTTCTTTCATAGCTGTTTCCTCTCAGCAGAGCCCGCCTTGGTGGTCTCCAGACCCTCGGCCTGCATGTGTTCTCTGTGCAGATTGAGCCGGTGGGGTCTTCCAGGCGGGGATGGCCGACCCCCCTCTCCCCAGGACCTGCTCTGTTCTGAGGTCACCGGGAGGGCGGCGCCCAAGGGTTGAGCTGAAGGCACCTGGCGCCTTCTTCCACGGCAGGAATTCTTACCAAAACCACAAGCAAAAAACAAACCAACACACAAAAATGGGAGGGGGAGGGGGAGGGTTTTGTAAAGGTTCTGTTAGGTTCGTATTTTTATATCGTTTTGCCTATAAATGAGGTATTTGCAGTTGGAATTTGAAGACAAATGATCTATGTTTTTATGGTTTTCTATGGAAGGTGTCACTTCGGCCGGACTCTTTCTGGGGGGTCCCCAAGCAGGGCGAGGGTCCTCGGAGGCACTTCTTGCCAAATGTAGACCAGGGGTGAGCCTGCTGACGAGCGGGACATTCCCGTCACTACGGGTTCTGTTTTCTGATCGTCATGTGTTTTCTAGGGTTGTCCAAACCTTTGTACAAATGTGTAGATAATATCTTGCTACAGCTTTTATTTGTGAATAAAAGATGCACCCCTTGTTCACGCGGCTCCTGAGTTCACTGGGCGTGTAGTCCTCTGAGGGTCCTGGGGCGAGGGGGCTGCAGGGGACCCTCCCTCTGCCCACAAACCCTACAGCATCCCCATGCAGGGACCAGCGTTGTAGGCGAGAAGGCACTGGCCGGGAGGAGGTCCTCATGCAGGCTGGGATGCAAGCCCCCATCTCCTCTCTGTCCCCCTCCCCAGCCACTCCATCTCGAGTTGCCTGGCTCTCGGGGTCCTGAGGCAGGGAGCCAGGGGCAGGGACCGGGCTGATGGGAAGCAGCATTTTCTGGTGGGCTCCTGGCCCCCTTCCCAGAGCTTATGTTAGCTGGGGAAATCCTGGCAGCGGCCATGGTGACCCCGCGGGAGACCCCCACCTGCCTTTCCAGGAGGTAGACGAGCAGACACTCCATGGGCACGTCAAGGTTCAGGACCCCCTGAGCTGGAGGGGGTCCCCACCCAGCACAGCCACCCTCCCCACTCCGCCCCTCTCTGCTGTGCTCAGGCCGCCCTACCCGATGGCCCTGTCTGCTCCCTGGCTGCCGCCCCCGCCCCATCAGGGTGTCCCCACCGCAGGCAGCCACGCGGGCACCTCGAGGCCCCTCCCAGCCAGCCGGGCCTCTCGCAAACCCCTATGTACGCCTGGGACTTCTCCTCCGGGCGGCGAGCGTCGGGGCCCCTGCTTGGTGGCCTGGCTGCCCGGGGCTGCATCCACCCGGCACGTCACACCCTGTTTGGTCTCAGCCCGTCTCCTGGCCTCGATGGGGCCCCTCGGGGGCGTGGTGGGGTCTGAGTCATGGCCGCACCCCCTCATCGGGCACAGGGCTGAACCCCAGTGGGGCCCCGGGGGCACATGCTGGATGAATGAACGAGCGAACAAGTGAACGAGGCCTCGCCTCAAGGAGTGTCCCTCTGGGATAGAGCAGGTCCAAGACCGAGAGCACTTAACAGTTTGCAAGCTGCTTCCCTGAACCCTCCCCGGGCCCGGTCCTTTGTGTGGCCGTGTGGCCCCCGTGGTCCAGCCCCAGGGTCGTCCATACCGATCCCCCGCCCCGGACTGCCTCCTTGCTCTCTGCTGTCGATGGCATTTGGGGCCCCTGGGATCGGGGTTGCACGTCAGCCGAGAGGCACCGGGACCCTGGACCCCACACCCCACCCTGCAGGTTCTCCCTCTCTCTTCTGAGGCCAGCCTGATGCCTCCCAAGCCTTCTTCTCTGTCACTGAATTTGGGGGGTTCTGGGGGTTGGGACAGGTGTGGTGGGACTTGGGGTGGGATGGGGAGATATATCCTTTCAGGACCTGTTGTCTGAAGGGAGGGGCTGAGAAGACCCCCTGGTCTGTGGATCCGGTGATCCAGGGTCTGACCTTCCTGTGTGGAGGTGCTGGCCCGGTGGCCCTTCCATCCTGAGGGACCAGGGCGCGGCTGGGGTCTGGGTGGGTCGGGGCTCCATGCTTAGGGACCAGGGCTGGCCTGTGAGCCCGGGATCCATTCTGAGGGCTGTGCTCTTGCTCCCAGCATGCCCTGCGGCATCTCACCTGGGCTGTGTGGGGGATGGGATGGTGCGTGGGGCACGCTGGGTGGGTCCCTTTCTTCCGCGCAGAAACCCCTGCTCCCCTACCTGACCCCCAGTCACTGAGGGGCCCAGAGCCTGCTTCTCACCGAGGAGGCCCCTCCTGCCCTTGATCCTCCTGGGCCCCGCCCCGGCACCTGTCCTGGGTGGGGGGGTCTCTGTGGAGCGGGCCCAGCCTGGGGCAGTTGACCTTTGGGGCCAGCGGAGCCCTCTTCCCACAGGCCAGGGTAGGCTCAGGAGGGCAGCGCCTGCTCTGTTGGACGGGAGCCCCTGTCCTGGGGCTAGCCTGGGGGCCTGGGCGGCCTTTCATCCGGACCATCAAAGCCCTCGGCCCTGTCATTACAGGCTGGGAAGCCAGCAGGGGAGCAGCTGTGAGGACGAGAATGCCCATTTTACGGATGGGAAAGCTGCAGTGGCACGGGACCCAGCTCCTTGAGCAAAGCCTGGGCCGCCCCCTGTCATGCTGCGGGCAGGGGTCTGTGGGCATCCTTCTCATTCAACATCTGTGGAAGCCAACACCCAGAGTGGGCAGGTCCCTCCTCCTGGGAGGGGAGGAGGAGGGGCGCTCCCGGTGGAGCCCCTGGGGGTCAGCCGGGTCTGGGGTGGAAGCAGAGGGCGAGGGCGGGGCTGCCTGGGCTGCTGGGGACAGGGGTGTGAGCCCACCCAGGCGAGGTCCTTTGCGGCCTCCGAGGTGCCCGCCTGACTCTCAATCTGTGAGTTCGGAGCTCAGGCCTGCTCCGCCCGCCCCCGCCCCAGCCCCGGGCACCAGGAGGCCACGAGGGGAGGTGGGGCTGGGGGGGGGGTCGGGCTGGGCTGGGTGGCCAGGGGCGGGGGGCTTACCAGGCCCAGCGGTGGCTGGGAACAGGCCTGAGCCAGGGAGGGTGGGCAGGCTGGCGGGGCGGGAACTGAGCACCTGGCCCGCGGCCCCCGGGGGAGACTTGCCCGCTCCTTCCTGGGCCCTCATCTGGACCAAGGGGCATGCTGACCCCCGCCCAGGGCTTCAGGTGCCAGGAGAAGAGTCTGGATCTTCAAGAGCGAGCGTTCGGTCCTCTGAGCCTCCTCCTGTGGTCACCCAAGCCGTGGCCCTGGGGAGGGTGACAGCAGTGGGGACGGTGGCGGGAGGGATCAGAGCAGTGGCACCAGAGGTGTGGGAGCCTGGCAGACTGCCCAAGGCCTTCTGGAGCCCGGGCTGCAGCAGGCTTCTTGCCTGCCTCGGGCCCTTCTCTGCCCGTGAGGCCATCTGTCTCCTGAGCTCTGGCCCCAGTGACGCCAGGTGTGCGGCCTTGCCCCGTCCTGACCTGTGTCCTCCCTGGGAAATGGGGGTGAGGTCACGTCAGCCGCCCCCGTGGGGCTCCCACTGGGCCTGAGCCCTGTGGCCTGGCAGGGGTGGAGTGACGGGTCCTAAATAAACAGCAGTGACCCGCCGCCCGCCCTCCCCTCGGGGGGCACCTGGCGCTCTCCCGGGTCTAGGGCAGGGGCAGCCGAGGGTAGCGGCCTCGGTTCCCGCCTCTGTTTATGCCACTGTTTGGGTGCTCATGGATGGGCGTCTGTCCCACCCCTGGGTCTCCCCCCAGGGCCCAAACCCCTGGCCGGCCTCCTGGTGCATGGTGCCATCCAGGGGTGCATGCACCATCTGTCTTGGGGTGCATGACACTCGCTTGGGATCCCTGGCCCCATGATCCTGGGGGAGTTCGAGGCCCACAGTGGATCTCCCTGCAGCCCTGGGTGGGGGAGGGTTTGTCTCACGGGTGGAGACCCCGCTACTTGCCCCAGCAGGGTGCCCGGAGCCCCCGGGGGCCGGGGCTTGGCCCTGGAGTCTGCGCCCAGCAAACAGGAAGCTCGGAGGGTGACTTCTCCCCGATGATATTGTGTTTACCAAGGCGGGATCCAGGGTCCGTTTCCACACAGGAAGCCCAGGAGGCTGGGAGGGGGCCGGGAAGGAATTCCCTGGGCTGGCCAAGAAGCCCGGCTTCCTGTGGGTCAGGTCTGTAGAGTGGGGGTGTGGGGGTGGGGATGGAGCCGCCAAGAGCTCAGGGAGGCCCCTCCCCACTCGGAACTCAGGGCTGGGGACCCTGGAAGGCCTGTGCCCCCCAGCCCCTTGAGGTTGGGGACAGGAAGGCCCAGGCCCAGGGCCTATCTCCCTACCAGACGGGCAAAGGGCCAAGGGGCATTGCGTCTCCCCCTCCCGAGTCCGGCGTGGCCTGGCACAGGGGCAGGTGGGCTCACAGGGACGTTGGAGGTCTCGGGGAGGGGTCTTCTGGGAGGGGGTGGGAGCTGGGGCGGGGCCTCCGCAGGCGCTGTACCTGGAGCCTGCCCTGTGGGCCCTCCCTCTGTGCCCGCCGCCCTGCCCGGGGGCCACCCCGCCTCCGCTCCCCACTCCAGCCTTGGGCAGCCAGAGGGTCCTCCTCAAACTTCCTCTGACCAGGTTACTTCATCCCAGATTAAAAACCACCAGTGCTCTGCTCAGGCTTCCAAACAAAGGCGGGCCTGGTAGCCAGGCCTGGAGGCCTTCATGAACGTGTGTCTTCCTCCCTCCCCTCCCCTGCCCTCCCCTGCCCTCCCCCTCCCCCCCTTTTCCTGGAGAAACAACCCCCACAGAGACAAGCACAGCGTTTCATTATGCACCCGCCACCCAGCTGCACCAAACTAGCCTCCTGCTACCCTGTATTTGCTTCAGAATCACCTTTCGAAAGTAAACTTTATCTTAGATTTATAGAAAAATTCAGAAGCTAGCACAGAGAGTTCCCTTATACCCCACACCCAGGTTCCTCTAATATTAACATCTTATGTTGGTGCGGTGGTGTACATTTGTTACAATGACAATTATTATTAACTGAAGTCCATTCTCCGTTCAGATTTTCCCTAATGTCCTTTCTCTGGCCCCGGGCCCCGCCCAGGGTAGCAGCGTGGCAGGGCGCTGGCGCCTGCGCAGATGGTTTGGAATCACCCTGCCCAAGCGAGCTGCTAATGACACCGTCGCTTGCATCTACTGGTGTGGACTTGCGGGCATTTATTTTACACTTTGGGTTATAACCCAATACTACTTAATTTTGTTACTCAAATCCCTCCAGCTTTGGCCACTGGGAGCCCTTGCATTTGGCCGGAGTCATTTTTAAAGTCCTCGATGGTTGCATGGAGGCCCTTGTGCCCTCCCCGGGTGGCCCAGTCTGGAATGGGCAGCCCACCAGCCATCCAGTGGCAAATTCGGGGCCCCTTCCCCTCCCCGGCCCGCCCGGCCTGGCCTTTCTGCTGACTCTGTGTCGGTGGCCACAGCGTCCTCACCAGCCTCCCACTGGACATTCTGTGCCCATGGGCCTGGGTCTCCAGCACTGGGAGGCCCCGAGCCCCTGAGATGACAGCTGTGAGGGCTGAGGCCTTGGGGGCGCTGCAGTCTCTGAGTGCCCAGGTGGGGGGAGCAGTCAGCCTAGGT